CCCTAAGATTCTATGATTCTATGATTCTTGCCGTGTGAACTGCTAACCAAACATACAGAGGGGGCACACCTTTAAGCCAGACTCACTTGACTACAGAAACAGTAATCCAAGGAAAAAAATCACTGAGCCCAACATTAAGAAACAAACAATACAGGATAAGGACATGACTGAGGCAGGTCTTGCTTCCATTCAGCAAGTGCTTTCTGTAAACATCTCTAAAAGAAAAAAGTTATAATGAATGAGAGAGACCTCTTAATCTAATGACTGGAATGGCGAGTTGTATTAAACCTTGCCAGTGTGCTAGTTCTGGCTTGGCTCACTCTTCAGGGGTGATGTACCTACACACTCCACAATAAAACCAAACCAGAATTCACACTAGTGTCTACGACAGTACCTCGGAACTACATTCCAAACTATGTGGATTCTTCCGGATCCTGCCTTTTGTGCTTTCCTTTCCCCTCCCCCATTTGTAAAGCAAACACAAATGCACTAGCTCTGTTAAGTCATGCAAAGAAAACCCCACGAAAGATGAAGAAGCGCAGAACTTCTAAGTGAAAGGGACAATGTAGGTATTTTAGACTGTCAAGACCTGGAGAGTAGTTGCATTCCTTGCTGTAGGTGTCTATGTGCACTGAATTCTTCCAGAGCACCCAGCAGTGCTTACCTCTTTCTGATTATAGGGGACTTAGTCTCCTATCTGTAGCCCCTCTATTGCACTTAAACAGGATAAAGCAACCAAAACCAGATTGTCCCATGAAGAAAAAAGTATCAGCTCAGACAAAATAATAAAAACAGAGAAAAATATTTTTAATAAGTTTTACAAAAATTCCACTTACTTAGTAAGCCTTGCAATTTGCCATTTCAGTTTCACTGAAGCATCGTTATAAGCAAGTCATGTAACATTTGAAATTCTAACACTGTCTATGTCCTGTTTCCAGCAGCATGGCTTCCAACAGTAGTTTGCTGCTGTTCTCAATGTATGGCTGGTATAACCATGATGATAAATAGACCATCATCAGATCCTGATCAGCAGAATGAGCAATATCTTGTACAATTGTTTGCTTGAGTTGTAGTTCCTTCTTGTACATTTCAGAGAGCTTCAGAGAAACCTCATCTGAAAGGGATTGAAAATCCAAGCACACGGACCTGAACATTTCAGCAATTCTCTAAAAGTTAAATTATTCTTGTAATATGTTGATAATTAAAAAAACCCTACCTTACATAAGCTAGTCTCCTTCTTTTTACAGCATTAATATTATTTACACTCTAGCATATAAAATACTAAACTATTCCCTAAGCTTTTGGTTATATTTTGTATACTTGTGATTTTGAAGTGAATCCCTTTTTAATTGTAGAATAATCAGTAGTGTTGATTCTCAAGATCCACTGTAAAATTATCAATTATAGCTATTCTTTCAAATAGCTAAAATTTGATTTTAAAATATGGCAAGGCTATACAAAAATACAAGCTTCCCAGTATAGATTCATGGTTGATTTTATCTATCTAAAGGTTGTTCTCACATGCTGTCAGGCACTTCAGTAATGCATGATTCTATGAAAAGCTCATAGTTTTTAATGCTGTGAGCTTTACAAAAAATCATAAGCTTTACAATGGATCTTAAATCCACCCTCACCTCATGTGCCACTGACACCCTGGTTCAGGTTTGTCTTTATTGCCATGGTCACACACCATTAATCAGGCTTTGGGGCTCTTGCTCAGGAAGAACAAAGTTTACTTTCTTCTAGCATTGAAAAAGCTTTTTTATCAAGTGTTGAAATTTGACAATTTTTTGTCTGCCTGAAGCTCCCCCTAAAACATGGAGAAGGATCCTGGGAGGAGTATTTAGGTTGTTCTCAGTATCCATGAAAGCTTCTTGTAACTGATCAGGAGAATCACTTCTAAAGCTCGTTCATGATCCAACCAAAACATCAGAGTGGACATTTGTTTAAGCTAATGTCTATTTTAAGAGGAGTAAAATTGTCCTCAAGAGCCAGAGAGTGCCTTGAGCAAGCTCCTTGCTCACAGGCAGATCCTTGCAGGGGAGCACCCCAATGCCACAGTCCTCCACCATCTGCACACACCAACATGCTCCATGTCCCTGCACATGCCTGGGCCAGGCTGTGCTTTCAGCTCATCCTTCAAACATTGGAATAGTTTTCCTAAAAAAGTGGTAAGTTCCCCCACATTGGACAGTTTAAAGTCTCAGCTTGACAAGGTGCTGAGCCATCTCATGTAAACTACAGTATTACCTAGAAAGGTTGGACCAGATGATCTTTGAGGTCCCTTCCAACTTGGCATTCTATGATTTTATGATTTATGATCACCAATGAGTGACACCAATAGTGAAAACTAACAGTAAAACAAAAGAACAAAAAGTGTAATGTAAAAAACTAATATTGTCAGTAGTTAGGTTGGTAATGCTGGTAGGGGGGCTAAAATATATCTATGTAATAATATTTAAATTTTTGTCTTTCTAAAAAAAAACCAAATTGAAACAAAGAAAACCCCACAAATTATTTTAAAAGAGGGATTGATACTGTGTTTCTAAATTAGCCTGAACTATCACTGCCTTCAGGAGGATTTGGTCTTTCCTGGAGCAGAGAGCATCACTAAATTAGTCAGTCACAATGAGCATTTTAACAGCAGCTGTCTTTGTCATTCTTCCCCTTTTTAAGCTGGCAGCACTAAGACATAAGATTCTCACTAACTTGTGGCAGTGTAGTAAGAAGCAGGGTTTCACAAAGGTATGACTTTCACTTCACAAAGAAGGCAGTTGGTTGGCATGCCATCAGGCTTCTCTTGAATTCAAATAGTTTTAAAACTGTGGTAATACCAGCTGGGAGGCAGCACCTTTTGCTATCAAGTGAATGCTAAAAGGACTAATACATTGCATATTTCTTTACTTGTCTTGACTGACACTGATATCAGAGGTATTTTAGTTTGGCTGCCTGAGAATTAACTGAGCTACACAGCTTGCTCTTTGCATTTAAGGATTTCATTTCAGTGTCAAGAAACAAGTCAAGTCAGCTAAGCCTACAGCTTAACACTTACCAAGTTGCAAATATGTCTCTCCCAGTAAAGGATGCGGTGGTTGCAGCTTGGACACTGTAAGCTGCTGACAAGCCTAGTTTTATGCTGTAATTGCTGCATGTCAGACAATGCCTGGCAATTCATACAAGCAGTCGTCAGCAGTAACCCTAAGCCAAGTGGTGCATTCCTGTGTTTATTGATTAGGCAATTATAAAGGAAACAGATACACTCTGTCTCTCTCTCTCTCCCTCCCTCCCTCCCTCCCTCCCTCCCTCCCTCCCTCCCTCCCTCACTCTCTCTCTAAGGAAAGACATCCAGATTAAAGGGTTTATTTTTTGGTCCAAAATTAGATTACATCAATGACACAATGCAATTAGCAAAGATAATAAATATTTTACTTACAGAAGTACAATGTAGGCCATGTATGAAAGAAGGGTGCTGTGCAATTCCCAGCTCCATCGTGGAACGTTTTCAAGTCACAGATTGCTTTAGTAGTTGAAGTAAGCTTTTCCATTTTCAGCTGTATTTTTGTCTGAAAATGATAAGCAAGTTATAAACATGTTAAGGAACATCTCAGGAACTTTACGCTACTATAAACAACTTTTGAAAACACACTATTTCTGGAAGCTATTTAATCTTAATGTTTCTAACTCACTTTTTTTAAACTCCAGACAGGAATCAAAGCTACAATTTCTATAAAGTTTTAATATGAGATAACATAAGAATTTGAACACTTAAGATATGATTTACTGATTCTACATAACTCTTTTTTTTCCCTCTGCAGAAATACATTGAAGTCCTCTCCCACTTTTAAATCTCTCTCCGGGGTTTTCCCATAGCAATTTAGTACCAGGGAAAAACATCAGACTGCCTATAAAGGAGCATGGCACAAGCCCTATAAACACATGCTTTCTTACATTACTAAGTTAAGGTGACTTAAATTTGATTTCAAAAGATCAGCAGCAGGGGAGAAAAGCAGCTCAAGCAACTACTAACAATATAGCTGAATGAACAGCTTGCTTTGAAAGAGGTCATTCCACTCACTTCCTTCATGTTGACCTGACGTTGTGCATTACTGATGGGGACTAATATTTACAACAAAATTCAGCTGGCAGGAAGAATCTTTAAGTCAAGAAGCTAAAATACAGATATTTCTACTAACTCATCAGCTGGTTCAGACTCCTAGGAAATGAAAAATAAATGTCTTCAGTAGCTATGTTTAGTATCCAATCTAACACAGGCTGCTTAGGCCCCTGTAACTCAGAAGTAATAAAAAATTGCATCAACACACTTGGTCGTCTGAATACAAAACCACCTCAAGGTAAAAACAAGCCAAATGACTGCTACTTCTGCCCACAGAACAAAATTTGAGGAAAATCTAGCTCCTTTCCTGCTTATTCTAAATACTGGACTGGTGTCCCGTATATATTAAAAAATAGATCTATATTTTTTTTAATGGGCCTCCACTTCGGCAGAACACTATGGAAGTTATTTTTAATAAGAATTTTAAATTACAGCATCAGGGGGAAAAAAAAATTAATTTGCTTCCTGACAAACTGGCAGGTGACATTAATTCATAGAAATGTACCCAGAAAAAAAAGGTGGGTTATGTAACAATTATCTTACTCTACTCTCTAGAGAACTTCTGTAGAGAAAATTGAGGTAGGCAGACTAAAAATATAACTGCATTATGTCTGATCAAAGATAGGATATGATGACAGGTAAAGCACTCCTTTATGCTTTGTTGTTTGTTTTGTTCATAACAAAGGGAATATTCAGAACGAAAAAACAGAAAACAGGTGCAGTTTTAGAATGCATTTTTGGTACAACTCATTGCCAGAAGATCACTTCATAAATGAAGGAGTGAAATTACAAGCAGAAGGCAGATCCAACTTCCAAATCCAACTTTCAAATTTACCAATCAAGCAAATAAATGGTGCACACTAGATGTATAATAATTTAGGGTTGAAGACAAAGAAGTATGATTGAAAATCCCAATTTTCTGTTTATAACAAGTATTTGAGGGCATTTCCTTATGTCGCACTTGAACACACTTGGAATTGATTCACATTGTCTAAGATTGAAAAATAAGCACTACCATATGCTTTAAGGTCTCGAGTAGCTCTGCACAATGATTGTCCAGTTCTTCATTGTATTTTGGAGCTGGCTTTTCAGATCCTGTGGCACTGTTACCACATGCTATCTCCAGTTGGTTGTCTTGAAAGCTAAAACAGAAACAGGCAGAGTAAACAACTGCATATAGGTTTACTTGAGCTGTGCATATTGAAATCCATGTGGTCTGATCCTCCAAAATCTCTCTCACAGTTCATGAGAATTCCTAAATAAAAATAGTATGAGACATAGCTAGCCATGTGAGCAATTTGGGTTGGTACCATAATCTTCAGAGGAACATAGAATTACTCCACCTTAGAGCACGTACTTGAAAAAACATTGCAGGTGTTAAGGTAACACCTCTTCCCATTTGACCTTGCCCAGGTGGTGGAGGTTATTCTCTCCTAATGGACAAGGTATGTCCAGGCTTCAGCTGCTCCAGCTGACAATCTGGTGCCTCACCAAACTCACCTTCACGCGCAATTTAAGCTAAGACATTCAACTGTGCACCCAGAGCAGCTAATGTGAAGACATCTATCCTGTCCTGCTGACTCCCACAGAAGCTGTAAACTTCAGACAGGCAATTGCTAAAGAGCAAAAGCAACATCTGGCACCATTACAGCAAAAACAACTCCTGAGCTTGTATCTGTCAGAACCCTGTCACACAAAGCCTGTTCAGCTGCCAGGGCTCTGGAGTTAGAGTTTGTCTTTATAGCATGAAGGGCAATAGCTCTAGCAAAGTGGGTTTTGTTAATTTGTTTTTAATCTTCACTGTTGTAGGGCTTTTTGTCTGTATAAATCACTAATTCTTTCTCAAAATCTGCTGAAATTTTACTTTGGTGAAATTTGTAATACTGGGCTCGGTGTAAATACACAAGAGAGTAAAGGAATTCACGTGGGCTAAGATCTGTAAGATAAGATTCTAACTTTGCATATTATATATTTTAAATATCCACTATGCTTAACTATGTATAATAAACAGTTTAGCTCCTTGCAAATATAATTACTTTATTATTTTAATCTTTATGAGACACAAATGTAAATAGTTTACATAACCAAAAAGTGCAACTGCTGAGTTTCATCTATGAGCTAGCTTATCCACTCTCATGTTCCTTCCCCACCTCCAAAAATAACTTTCTAGTGAATAAAAGATTAATTTCCCAATGAAGGCAACCTCTGTGCTGTCTTTACTTGTATGTATTAACATACTTACTGCTCACTAATCTTCATGTTGACTATCTTGTTTGCTGTAGTAAATCCATTATCATTCAGTCTCTCCCATTTCATCATTAAATTATGCCAGTCTGCTGCATTATCTCTAAGTTTTCTTGCACTGACAGACAAAACAGGTCGTCTTGGAGTGCCATCAGCAGGGCTTTTTGCTGCGTGAGAAAATAAATTCAAGCCATTTAAAGTATACAGAAACAAGTGAGTGTGCTGCCTGGCAGTTATTTACGTGAGCGACTTCCTTGTTTCACTGCTGGACACTGATCAAAGTAAAATGGAATTTATCTTAAACTACCTTCGCTCACGGGATCCAATTCCTGAGCCTTGTTACAACCCACAAGCAAACCACGTTATGAAAGAAGCGCAGGCACGTCAGGAGATGTGACACAGCCCCGGACAGCAGCGCTCCTGCAGCACTGACCAGCCCCGCGGCACCTCCAGCGTGCGGGTCCGGCACCAACGCACCGTACGCGGGTCAGGGATCAGGGCAACAATTCCCGCACGCAGCTCGTGCCATCAACGTCCCAACGACTTAATCACGTCTGCAGGGGAGCCTGAAGTGTTTGTGAGCAAACTGGGTCCTACTGCAGCCGGTGGGTGCTCCACGGCTGCGGGTAAAGCCCGCGTGTCTCGACGTGTCCCCACAGGGCACGGGCTGCGTTTCACCCCGTTTGCAGGCGGGAGCCCCCGCAGCCTCAGGCCCCGAGGAGGCCGCAGGCCTGGCTGGCAACCCGCTGGGCTCTGCCCGCAGGGACGCCTGAGAAGCGCCCACGAACGCGGGGCCCA